GCTGGCAAGTTTGCTGGTTCGTCCATTTAGTGAGTCGAGCACTCGGGATTTAGCGTGGGGCTGGGGGACGTTGCTAGCACGGCCCGCCGAAGATCACCGTAATCGGAGCATGCGAATCCACGCCACGTTGGCCCCGGCAGGGCCGTACGGTACCGCTAAAAGAGGAAAACTAGATTTTTTCGGCCCATTCGGGACTCCCGAGTTGACAGATATCAGTACGATGTTCACGTAATTTGGTGAGAAATCGCCGTCCCCACCATTCAAAACAACCTTCCGGTCACAGCAGCGCCACATCGCCCAAGCAAAAGTGAAAAATCGGAAACGTGTCGGTACGACGAAAACTGACGGTTTCGGACGGCCCAAGTTCTCTGGCAAGCCAAAGCGACCAGTACAGAGTCTAAAACCAGTCACTATATACGAAATAAGTAAAATATCCACTAAAAAATACCAGTTGGATGAAGGAAAAAGGGTATTTCAGCATAGCAATTTGATTTGTCGTCTAAGGGGAGATAATATTTAGGTATGAGACCACTGTTTCTAACAATAGTAAAATACAGATTCGTCCATTTAGTGAACCGTTCTCAATCAGACGGAGGAGAGACTAATTTCATACTAGTAGATAGACATCACATATATTACAAACTGATACAATTTTATCCCTTGGGGTTCAATTTTATGGTGAGGTATTTGGATTTGTCTAATTGTATCTTATTTTTATACACCCACACATAGTAGTTCCAAAGTTGGCAGAATTACACAGGCTCTTGATGATCCAAAATGGACAGTATGAATAATCCTTGAATCGGTATAATCTGGCATGGTAATACTCCACAACAATAATCCTAAGATTGACATTTTACTTAGGTTAAATATTCACTTATTTAAATTGTTGATTAGGTTAAGGTTATTTATTTCAGATTGAATATTCATTTTAGTGCTTAGACTCCCTCGCCCCCATATCGATTTGGTTAAGAAGGATTAGGGTTTAGTTATATCCAACATTTCAAACATTTCTGGTAGGCACGCTAATGTAGTGTCCTATTTGTTTATTTCTTCCGAATATATTACTCGGCATTTGGCAAGAGTAAAGAAGAAACGTTAAAAATATCCCGCGACATTTCAGATCGTCAGTTCTTAATAAACCCCAAGATTCGCATGACGGATATATTTAGACTTCTCCCCAGTAATGATGCCTGGGTAAGTTTCCCGAATGTCCAGAAAATTATAGAGGCAACGGGTGTTGGGGTAGTATTGGACAGTGTTCAGCCCGTTGCTAAGTCCAAACAAGAGAACGCCAACTCGCTTGTCCAATGTGTGTTAGACCCATCGGTCGAGTCCAAGGCCCCGTTGGAGTCCGGGGCCCCGTTTGAGTCCGAACATTTTGAGGACTCCAATTATTCGCCGACTGAGCGAAGTGTCGACGGACGAACTTGCGGTGACTCCGACCTTTGTGCCCGAAGCCAACGATGACGAAGATGTTGCGTCTACTCCCGATGTGGATAATAGCCCCGAAATAGGCCTTCGGCCCAGGCAAGCTCGCCCTCTAGGGTCTGATAGCAGCGATAGTGAAACTGAAAGCAAGTCAGAAGACGACGCCGAAACAAGGTATTTGCTGAGGGGTGATACCTATAGGGGGCAAACTTTGCTTGGTCGTATCCGTGCGATGCGAAAGGATGCTGGATTGGCAGAAAGAATAGACTGGACCACAGAGGGCGACCCCCAATTATATTCATTTTTAAAGCATTTGATGTGATGTAAGGCCGGAAAAAAAGAAAGAAGTGCAAGAAATAAGGTAAACAATATTTCAAAATTCATTCAAAAGACCCATGAAATGTGTACTAGTAGCGCAGACCCGAAGTGTCTATCAACAAGATATATTCATCAACAATTATTACGATATGCTTGCGCACGATCTCGATTGCACGGGAAATGGATACGGCCTGCAGTTGACAGCCATGATAAATGAGCTGCAATCGGTTAAACTTTATTTGACATATTTGGTAACTGACTGCAATTACCATGTTTCCGACCCGGATTTTAAGGAACACGCCAAGATTATGCTGGAAGGCATGGTAGTGATGGTTAAGAACAACCATAGTAGGATAGCCGTCGCAAATACACAGCGGCAAATCCAACTACAGGCAGAAGGGGTCAAATATGATATAAATCAGATGAGGGAAGAGCTGATGCGAAACTAAACGATCGATTGAAAACGATTCGTAACAAACTGGCCCGCAGTGGTGTTAGAAATGACAATATGAGTGATTTTATTTTTTTAACGAGGTACTATTGTTTGTCAAACTTCCACTGCATGGTATTCAAAGGGTGGGAGTGGCCGAGGGTCTAACCCTACTAGAATTTTATAACGCAAAGGCAGGCGTTAATTCGCACGGAGAAGACTAGATAACAAACCTTAATCTCTCAACCCTCCGTGTTTCGAGTTAAGAACTGAGGCCATGACCTATAACGTTGCAGCTGCCGGAGCGATTCACACCCGGCATTTTTAAACAAAATTGACAATAGTTTTAATCAAAACAACGATTGATTATTGTTATTTATAATATTTCTACAACACCCAACTAAAATTAAGCATATAATCCTACCTGAAACGGGTACAAATCGTCGTTTTTAAAATCGAGGCGTTAAGCCGTTACTAAGACCGCCATCTTTTTAAACGATACGCTGTCATCATGAAGGCGGGGCTAAATATAAGGCTTTTATAACAGCCAATCAAAAGGACAATCGAAAGCACAGTAACTATGAATGGATTTCGATGGCGATGAAATGTCAGACAAAAACAACGCTTCATTAATTTAAACGCGAATATTTGGAGTTAGGCGACAGTTGTGCCATTACATTGGCCTCTGTAAGTTTAATTAATCATAATATTATAAACTTATCTATTTTAAAGATGTTACATGCATTAATAAAGAAATTGAGTTTGCCACTTGGAACTAAAGGCATCCAATCGTAGCTAAAAACAAACACATCAGTATATCTCAACGTTTTTAGCTACGTTCTCGTAGCTAGGAGAAGACGTGTTTCTCCTGTTGACAAACTCTCACTTCGCCGGCACGATTGTGATTCTGGCTGATTTGTACTCCTTAATGGACTTCTATTTGAAGAGGTTCCGACAGATGGACGGCCCCAAGAAGAAATGCTCTAACAAGTTATTTCGTCAATGCGGCTCCCAAACGGAGTACGTGAGCGTGGCCAATAACATTCAAAAACGCCGAAGTTTTGGAAAACATTATTGAGCGCAGGTACAGTAAAAGGCAGCCGTCTGCTTTTTCTGGGGTCATGAGTGGCGGCGACCCCCGTGTTGTCAACTCGGGGGCTAGTACTTCTGGTGCTAACCCACCCCATTTAGAACGAATTTCGTCCCCTGCGTCGGAGGCTGGTAACTGTCATGCTAGAAGTATTATTGGGATCTATGGCGTTAAAAGCCCAGGAGCGCGGTTGGGCCGAAAATCCACGTATCGTCCGTCCCGAGGAATTTCAGGCCGAAGCCTCTGTCTGGCTTATTTCATCTGATGGTGTTTATGAATGGTGAATAATATTGGATGTACAGTAAATTCGGAACCCAGTTTATTAGTCATTAAGAATATATTGTGAAATGTAAATTAATGAAGTTTCCCTATAGGAACTCAATCTACAGGGCGACGTCGTGTTAAGAAGTCGACGTCCTTTTTTTCTCTATAGTTTAACATTTCAAAGGCACTAGCCTTGATTTTTATTTTTGGAAAACTGAACCACAAATTACAGACACTACTGTTAGGATACGCTATTGCCTCAAGATAGTGGTTCGGATGTCTTAAGCACTTTTTGGAGCTTAAGATAATAATCTCCACAATGGTCTTGAGATATCGCATCTATTTCTCGAAAATATGTGTCGAAGAGAAAATCATCTTTATTTTCATTCTGTGTCCACCCACCACGATACCCCGATCTAATTACAGGTGTTTGTTAATTTCTCACCCACGGTAGAGCGCAAATACGTTGTCAGTAGTTTAAGGCTCGGTCCCACTGCACTTACGGATGCAAAAAGGGTGTAAAACGGGGAAAAAACGTGCCCTCCGTTTGAAAACGCCATGCATCCGTTGTGTACTCATTGCATACGTGTTTCATACGCTCTATCGCATCCGTTCACTTTAATTTCATCCGCGCAAAAAGTTTTGAGCTGCACAAAACTTTTATAGCGGATGAACTTTCTGCCGTGTACGATGTAAATGCGCGACATATACGAGCACCGAACGTTCCATGTCCGTTATCATCAGTTAAACGTCCACTGTATCCTCTCGGCATCCTCGCAACTCACATCCGCTCCAGCTGAAAACGGTAAGAGGGAGGAAAGATAAGGTACATGGAACATACATCGTTAGTAGCACGGAAATAGAAAGGGTGTAAGCGTATGCATCTCGTATATAAAGTTATCAAAACAGACAAAGCATTTGTATCTGGGATGTATCTGGTATATTGAAGGATGTCTGGAGTTTGCCTAACCCCTTCGGAGCTGTCATCCACGACCATCCGCTAGGCTTCCGATAAACATCCATTTAACATCCCCGCTACATACTTCCCACGTTCGTTCTTTTTTCGCAAATTTTCGTCCATTTCTGGAGCGGATGAAAACGGATGGAGCCACTCCCGAAAGTTTGCTCATCCGCTGTGTCCTTTTTGCATACGTTTTGTGTCTATCGTCCACTGGGACCGGGCCTTATAGTACACCAAAGGACCTTTCCCATATTGCATACGAGGGACGATTTTATTTTTTAGTTGGATTTCCTGTCTGTGTGTGTGTTTGGTTTTTATGGGTTGCAACTTGAGGTGGGGGATGGGGTGTGTTTGAATAATCCACTGTATAACTGTCGCTAAGATATGAAATAAGGTTGACATTTTAACACTGTATAATATAATTATATATAGTTTCTGATAAGATAATCTGTGTTATTTTTTTGTAAATACATGTAACATGTATTAATTCAACAGGTTGTAATATTCCCATGTTTAAATCAGTTTGCACTTTCTAGAATAGATTCAGTGGATGACCAGGTAGGATCTCTCACATTAGTAACGTGTCAATTTTGTAAAGATTTTTGATGGCTTGATCTGATTTCTTTGAATATTAAATTGATTATCTTGACATTGTATAAGAGTTGAATTGATGAAATGCAAAAGTACAAGAATCATCTGATAGCTATTTCCAGATGTGGAAAGTGACAATATTTCGGGTGGAACAGAAACGAACACTTTACAACTGGAATTGCAACTCTTTCCCGATACAACCAATCGTGAACCAAACTTAACAGGGTCTTCTTTCCCCGCTGTGGCTTCGCTAGATAGTAGAAAGTGACAGTGGGAATCTCGTTAATCCACTCATGCGCGTCACCAATTACATGACGAGGCGTGCAGTTACGCCCAACGTAATATGCCACCTGACCGACTCCCGCGCTAGGATTCCCCCTTCCGAGCTAGCAGCGGGCTGCACGGCCCCCAGAGCCAATCCTTCTCCCGAAGTTACGGATCCATTTTGCCGACTTCCCTGACCTACATTGTTCTATCGACCAGAGGCTGCGAACCTTGGAGACCTGCGGTGGGTTAAGGTACGGCCCGAGGTGGAAGCGTAAAAGACCCAGTTAACATTGATGGTTAGATTTACGTAAAGTTTACGTCATTATGGTTAGATTTTGGTTAGCGTCCAATAATGGTAAAATTCTTTGGTTAAATTTACGTTACTTTTACGTCATAATGGTTATGGTTACTTTTACGTCAGAAAATGACGTAAATGTAAGGTAAACTTTATGACGGATTACTAACCAATTTTTTTCGCTTTAAATACTTCTTGATTAAATAACATTACAAGTGTGTGCACATTCTAACAATTGGTAAATAGTTGGAATTCAGACATAATAATTATATATGTATTATTGGTTATAATTCTAACGTTATTCTAACGTAAATTTTACATCAGGTTTCTAACCGTTAGTTTATGCATAGAACTAGAATACTAACGGGAACGCCCACTCGGTGACGTATAACGGTGATGACATAATTATGTTGTACATCGCATGCGCGAAGTCAATAAGGCACAAGTAACTTCCGGCCGTATGTCAACATAGCAGAAGCGTACGACGTCCTGGAATTTCAAGAACTTGACGGTGTAATAGATGTAAGTTATTCATAATTTTAATGAGTTTTTTTTAAATTAGTTATATAACATACCATCGGGAGTATAAACCATTTATTTTCGGACATTAAATTATCCGAATACACGTTTGTGTATCATTTTCTACTACATATTATAAAATTATTATTAATAAATTATGATGACATTCACATTTTATTTAGGACTTGTTATTATTTTTATTTATTGTTTTGTGCATATTGTTGTTAGCCTTTGGCATGTCCGTGCCAGTTTTGGCTGGTTTCCCAGTGCCCTTTTCTTGTTTATAACAAGGGGTTTTACATAGGCTAAGCCTGTTCCCCAATCCCATTCAGACATCCTGATTAAAAATATTGTTTATAAAAAAAAAAATGTGTATTCTTTACTACAGCTTTTCTTTGCTAAAGATTTGTTTGAGACATCTCAACCTGTCGTTCCAGTAGCATCCGTAAGTTTTCTACATATACAACATACATACATATAGTCACATAGTGTTCGTAGCAAATGGGCAAGATTTGAAACTCATTATAGTCTCGACCATGTCTATATATTTTTTTTCTTCTCAAACGATCAAATTGCTTTGGAAATGAAATGAAATGAGGTTTAACGTCCTACTGTTCTGCTCCTATGCTGGGCTAATGAAGACGGGCATACGCCATAAGGTGTGATTTAAGGGAAATTTTGCCCGGGCAGCGGCACTATCACCTATTCTTATATCGAATTCCAACTGCCAAGGGATCTTTTACGTGCATTCCAATGTATACAGGTGACCTCGGGTTTTCGTATCATCCGAAGGATTAGACAGCTGTCCTTGTCAGGCCCTCCGTACTGCATCACTGACAAGGGGGAACCACGCCGGAAAATCTGGATGAACTTTCTCGGCAAATGTAGGGATCGATCACCCGACCTCCAGGCTAGCGAGCCAGCGTCTTACCCACTTAGCCACGTGAACCCAAATTGCTTTGGAACAGTTTTTTTTTATTTTGTATAATATTTACTTTAAAGGGACAATAACACTCTTGCTGGCTTGAAAGCTCCAGAAAATAAATAATATCTCTATCTAAGTACTAGATGTTTAAGTGTCCCACTTGTTGTGTAAATTATCCATTACATCCTATTTTACTTGTCCAGAGGGTTCGAAAATATTTTTAAATCGAAGTTTCATTTGAAAAGGTTTACGTTAGACGTTTCAAACCATTATGTTGAATTTTTTAAATAAGGTGTGTTAAGATGAAATTTGTATCATCAATTAATTGAAATATTCTAAAATAGTTAAATTTGTTGACCAGAATAAAGATTGGGACATATAATTCAGTTACAACAAGAGTGGTATTGAGCCTTTAAAGAACTGTATTAATTTGGTATCAAGCTCGTAATTAGATAAAATTGTGAGGGAAATTATAACCTCCAACCCTGTCTTTGGTTGTGTACAGATTTACACTGGTAATTTTAATTCATAGCTATTGATTTTGTTTGGTTTTTATTTACGTTGTTTTCATTGTTATTTATTTTCTTTTTAAGATTCAAACTAATCCAGTTAAATTTAATGGGAAAGTTCAAGTAGTGGTTATATGAAAAATGATCTGATGTTCACATGATCTCAAGGGTTTGCCGAACCTCAATCGAGTTTAACCCCAACAAGGAATATTATACATCAAAACTTGTCATCTGCCTGTGCATTTTCTAGTATAAGTTTATCATCATTTGGAACAAATGGTTAAATTACTATTCAAGATGACTAATTTAAAAAACAAGAACAACAATATGTGGTTGGAATGATCCAAGGCTCTGTTCAAAGATATTTTATTCACATGACAGTGATGCTTGTTAAATAAAACTTGTGAATTTAACAGATAATGACCATTGATAAACACTAAAGGCAAATAGAAATGCACAAAAAAATCCATAAGCTTATGATAATAACGATTAAAAATACATTATGCAAGAGCTAAATCTGCCTATTGCAGGTTTTCTTTAGGCCTGAAATGTTTTCTAAATTATTAATTAGACATTAATTAACTTATCCAGGCCCTAATCAACTCTCGATGGCATCGGATTTCTCCAATATTAAATAGATTAGAACAGTTCAGCCATATTTTGATTTAAGCTAAAAATGGAGGAGCGAGACTACTTCGAACAACCAGTACGATGGTTGAAATTATTGCACACGTCTTGTCAAACCTTCAAAGGCCTTCAAAGGCTAATATCTTCGCTCGCAATAGAGTAATTTGAATGAAATTTTCAAATTATTCATTTTACATTATTTATCTTCGAACTATTATAACAAGAATGGCTAGCTCTTTATCAAAATCTTACATAATGTATATTTAAGAATAATTTAATACATTTATAAAGCTCACACATTACAAGTTGTGCACCTGTATAAAATTTGTATAAATTTTGTTATCATTGTTAATATTTTATACTGAGATGCAATAAAAATAATACATCACTTTTATAAATAGATGAATGTAAATCTTGTTTGAAATGAATCCAGGTTTAACGCCCTACTTAGTACTTTTCAGTTCAATTTTGTTTTAAAGATTTGCTTTAATCTTGCAATTAAGGATGTAACAATATCATCAGTAACAACGCACCCCGAACAATTCTCAATCAAAAAAATTAAACCCAACAGAATCAGTATGTTGATTTTTCTGGTACACACGTGGGGTATATAATGCAGCTTTTAAAAAGCTAGGTTTTGTGCAACTGTGGAAGGTGCAAAGTTATGCCACGTCATCTCAGAGGTGCTATTTCATTGCGTCTCGATATATTTTGTTTACAATTATCAACCTGGCCCCAAGTTCACAAAGCATTCCCAGACTTAATAATTTGCTCAACTTTCAATCACTGTTTTTGAGAAATATCTTTGATCCAGAAACACAAAACTTTGCACATAGTTTCTTATTGATATATTTACATTAAAACAACAATAGTTAGTAAAGTGCTATATTTAAGTTAAAATAAGACAAACAATTTTGAGTAAAACCTTAACTTAAAAGACTGAGAATGCTTTGTGAACTTGGGGCCTTGTTTTCTTTTCATTACTTATTATCTACAATACAGTAATAACAAGAAATAAAAAATCTGTAGAACACTGCTGATTAAGTTCTAGATGTAATCCTAGATTCAATCACATTTATATTTTTATACTTCCAATATCGATATTAATTCCAATAGAGCCAGGTGATGTTTAGTTTAATTATACACTTTCTATTTTGTTGTATGAAATTATCTGTATAATCTGTGTTTTTGTTACTTTCATTGTGTGAAATGCTTGCAGCAAAGTGCTGTAAATAAAATACCTGACATCAATGATGACAGTTTAACTCTATAACTTCTCATTTGACCTCAAATCTATGTGGAGTGGAGTCAGTTGGAAGAAATAAATCAAAATGGAGTGAAATCTACATTTTAATCAAATTCGTACCACATGATTATATTCTACCACTTTTTGCTCGTTTATATGGCAACTATATATTATTGCTAAGCTATTTTTGAATTGTAAATTACATTTACAAGTATGTAAATATTGATTCTTTGAATTATATATTTTCAATCAAAATCTGAATATGCAAAATCTGAATATGCAATGTGCTATGTAGCCATATATGTGAAATAAACTATTATTATTGCTTTTTACTTTCTCTGTAAATCTCTGTTAATCTGTCGACAACTTAAACAAATTTCGATTTGAGTGTCCTCAAGAAAACTATTACATACAGAAGCAAGTACACAGATTTCGTAATTTATATGTTGACTTATTTGTGTTCATGAAAAGATCAACCTGTCTGATGTATCTTACAGTTGTAGGCTGACATTGAGAATAAGACTGTAAATGTTTTGATGTTATGCCCCTACATATCTTCATATTCTCAACAGTTCTTAT